GTCCTCCTCACAGTGTAGTGTCATCGAGTGTCTGAATAGTATGCTGGTGAAGTGGCTGACATGGCATTCCGTCAGCGCATCGGAAGGCGGTTTGGACATCAGTCTTAACAGCAACAGCACCATGTGAGTATACCAAAAATATGAAATAAAAATCGACAGTATTTAGTTAGTTATCAACACATTTTCAAAACCTATTTAAAAAATAAACAACTTTTCTTTTTGCTGATGTAACCAAGGCTGTATAGGCAGAGAAAATGGTATTAACCAATACTAATATAGCCAAAAATGCTTAAATACTTATTCTTATCAAATCCTGATAAAAATCCCAGCATTATTTCCAGCTGAGTAGTCTTGGAAACATTTTGCTTTCTAGTATTTAAATAACTTGCGAATGCTGTTGTCTTTAATGTGACTTGCACTTTACCGAGTCCTCTGAGAGTTTTTAATGACTCTGTCAAAAACGCACTGTCTTGGAAAACATTGCAGAAATAATCTGAAGAAATGGGACCACACTCCAATGATTGTACTCTTTAAAAGTCTTGTCTGAGGTTTACCACTGCAGATTTCTTTATATTTTATATTTAAAAGAGCTGCTGATTTGGTTATTTTTTTTATTACATTACTGAAGTGCACAGCTGAAGGAGAAATTATGATCAAGGGCAAAACCCTGTTTGACTGCGCCGGTGTGCCATGCATCAATGCAATACACCCATTATTCCCTTTTTCGCTTTGGGTCTCTGTGCTGTGCGAATTGTGTGGGTGCCAAGCATAGCACAAAGACACATCTGGTGTGATTTAGCTGATTTATTTTGTACGTTCTGCAAGGAAAAATAGTTTTTCACATGTTATTTTGTGTATGCTTTCAAAAAAGTGAGTGAAAAGAATAATGCACTCCCCTTCCTAGAACTATGACCTTGTCTGGCTTCATGGACTCAGTTATGGAGCTGGTTCGCTTTGTGGGACTGCTGGCATCTGAGGGACTCCGTCTGGAGAACTGCCATGTTCTTCTGCTCAACCAGACACTTGCTTTCTATGAGACGGTACACTCAGCTATGATTAACTTAATTAACATGATGTTCTTGGCAAAGTGACATCAACCGAAGTTCCACCCTGAGTTTTACTAAGATTTATGTGCTGATTTTCGTCTAGTAGATTTAATGTTAATGTCTTTGTGCTAATGCAGACATTTTTCTCTCGTCATGTCTAGGTGTGTGACATGTTTTTGAAGTACAGTTTGCCTCTGATCATCATGCCTCCGGCTGGGGTTTTCTACCCAGCTCTCTTTGCCACAGACTCTATCAGCGTGGATAGGCTTGGCTACATCATGTTCAGGTACTATATGTGAGCTATAATAAGCTTTATGGGTCATTTTATCACTCTGGTCAATCCTAGAGATTTTCTGCTTGAGATGTTAGCTTGGCCATGCTAGATTAAGGGCATCTTCTTTTGGAACTTTTGGGTGAATGAGTTGGGTGAGGGTAAGTTCCTCTTCATCGCATGTGCAGTTCCCATGGCAGTGGGACACCTTTGTGCTGCTGGCTAATCTGAGGGCAACAGCCTGAACCTTCAAATGCATTACATTGCCATGGCATGATGCCTGTAAGCAATAGAGGAAATGAAGTATGAAGATCCTTTCATCTGCTTCAGCATGCAAACCTTTCAGTGCTTCTGTGAAGGCCTTAAAGGGAAAGGTTCACTCAAAAATCAAAAGTCTGCCATTTATCATGCCAATATGGAAGAATATCTAAGCTACTGCTTTCCATATAATGAAAGTTGATGGGGATTTATACAAGCTCCAAAAAAAGACAAAGAACCACACAAGTCATATGAACAATTGTGTTTATATTAATAAATAAAGAATATTAATTATTTCTGAAGTCTACCATCATTAATTTCACAATTGTAGTGTATATCTGACTTAAGCTATTTCATGTCTCTTTTTTTAAATAGAACAAATAGTTCTAGTGTGTCTATATTGACAGACTATTTTCCTAATTAATGCTGTACAGTTGCTCTGACACAATCTGTATTGTTAAAAGCGCTATATAAATAAAGGTGACTTGACTTGACTAGTATGTTAGCTTTATTAATAAAATGCTGTTGTTATATCCTTTTTTCAGATACCGCAAGAATCTGACCTTGGCTAAGAAACAAGAGCAGCAGAGAGAGGTAATGAGGAAACTGTGTCATAAAATGAACACATAGCAAAGTCATGAAAAGCCAACTGTGTGTATGCAAGAGGTTTTGTGTCTGAATAATTTACTCATAATGGGTAAATTAGAAGGACCTTCAAGCTGTGCTTTTAAGAATTTACAATGAAGCTCCTGGAGGCTATTGCTGTAATCCTCACCTTACCTGCTGGGGATGAAAAGAGAAATGGAGTCTTCTTGATTGAATCCCAGTGAGACAAAGCATGGCACTGGAATTGCAGTGAATAAAATGGCCAAATAATTTGATCACAGCATTGCACTTTTGTCATTTAAAATATATAGGTGATTCTTGTCTCACACTGTAACCCATTAGATCCATTTAGTGGCACCAAGGTGTTATTGTACCCACAAGCGTTCTGTGGAATTTGAATTTACACTTTTTATTGAGCTGTGAATGTGTCTTGACAGGTGTTGACTTATTCATTTAGTTTCATGTTTAATATTTTCTCACATTACAGCAAACATTCCACATTAGCAGAAACACATACAAGGAGTTTAATCGGAACCTTCAAGCCATGGTGAACTCCATGTGGAACTCCTGGTGGTGCATCCCTGGTTCAGATATTGAGATTGACAAGGATCTTATCGCTCTGAGCAAAGTGGCAGAACCCTGGTGCCGTTTCGATCTCATCCACCACCCGGCGCTTTTCAGCTATGCCATCGAATTTCATCAGAGGGTGAGTGAGAGATTCTCACACTAGTGACATTTAAAAGCACGAGAGTTTGTAATCGTATAGTGATTTTGGACTGTCATCTCATTTGGAGTGAAGGAAAGGGACTCAGCTGCGCAAGCTAATTAGATGATTATATTACATCAAGTGTAAAGCCTTGTGTCACTCCTGGGGACAGCACAGCCGCCACTTTTCTCTAATAACTTTAGGAATGGACGAGGAGATAAATGTGGTATTAATGTTTCTTTTATAGAGGTTCCATTAATACAGAATCACATTTTATTATTCATGGAAGCTGTGTGAGACTGGAGTTTTCATCATCTTTAATAATACAAGTACCTTTTTTTGGTCCGACTTAGTGTTGTCACGGTACCAAAATTTCAGTATTCGGTACCGATACCAGTGAAAATCCACGGTTCTCGGTACCAATTTCGGTACCAAAGCAAAACACAAAAACATGCTAATTGAACAACATTTTTATTAATAACGTTAAACAAAAATTAAATGTACAAAACCAATGCCATTCTTTATACTTACTTAAAATTGTTTCAAGTTTTTCCACAAGTAATAAAAGTATGAAAAAAGTATACCGACTTGGTACCGAAATACCGGGTCTTTTGACAACACTAGTCCGACTGCAACATTCAGTAGTGTACTACTGAGATTTAGAGCAAAGGGAGAACAATGAATATTTATGTGTTCTCTTTATCAGTGTTGGCCGGAGAGGAAGAATGTGGATCTCGGTTCTATAAAGGTACTAATGTTATATCATCTCCTTTTTATTAAAAACTACTTATTTCAGGTCAACGTGAGAGCATGTATCAATCAGTCATATTCGGTTGCAATATTCCACACCATAACTCTTCTTTTCATGTTTGCAGACCGGGAAGTACTGGAACTGGTATATGGAGTTTCTCTTTAATCAAGGCTTTGATGGCCTCAACAACTTTATTCAGACCAACACTGGGCACGGCTCCACGTTGAATAGTCAAGAAGACGGGCAGCCCAAGAGTCAGCCTTGATGCTGGCAGGAAGTCCAGGTGTCAGGGGTGTTCATAAAACATGTATATATTTTATAGTCATCCTCCGTAAGAGGGCAGAAAGGAACCACTTGCATAACTGTAAATACTAAATGTACATTACAAGCCATTTTGTGACTTTCCAGTCTTTTCTAGTGTTGTGTACTTTTAGACCTTTTTTGCTTTTTATCTTTTGTGTACAGAAAACGGACCTAAAACATTGTGATAAATCCCTAATATTTGAAAAAGAAGACTGTTTTTACTGCCATATTAAAAAAAAAATCCCATTATTTATAACAATTTAAAACTGATGATCAAAGATTGATTAATAGTCTTGTTTTTTATTCCTGTAAACCAAATGGGCTATGTATCATTGATCGACCTGACATTAAAATAAATCCTTTGTTCTCAGATCCAGCATGAGGTAAAGCAGAGTGGTGCAGGCTTTTGCCATTTTTTTTTGTAAATGACATTTACATTTACATTAAACTGGACTTATTTGGGGACTTGCTAACTTGCAGTGATTTAGAGCTATTGTGTGATATTTGTCTCAAAGTATAGTTGTGTTAAGAGTAATTCACACAACAAATCTGTTTTTAATATTTCAAAACGCATGGGTTGTACTGATAAATCTATCATTTAAAAATATGAATTGTTTAAAATGCTTATTTATTAAATTTAGCATGCATAATTAGCCATTTTTAATAGGTTGGTTTGCTCAAAGACCTAAAAGTAGATGTAATGTGATTTTAATGCAAACATTCTGCCTATTACTAAATCAAACCCTATAAAGACTGCTTCTTTAAAAATAATAATAATAATAATAAAGACTATTGTTTTTCCACAGAAACACTGTAAGCATCCCCTAGGTAACTTGGTCCAAGTGCATCCTAGGAAATCTCAGCATCAAGGCAGTGTGAGCAAAGCTCTACGGCTTTACGTTCTACAGCCCGTCTCAGTCATAAATGTGAGCGCCTTCAACTCTGCGTGACACATCTTCGTGTTTATGAAGGGCTCTGGGGATGCCTCGCGACAATGTGTCCCCTCTCTGGTCCGAGCTATTTTCAGCGCGAGCGCGTCACGATGCCGTCCAGCAAACTTCATCCTGGAGTGAATGAAGAATACGCGCACACCTCCGGGATTACAGCTCATGCGTTATCATGAATAGAGGCAGGTGCACAACTTCAAACGATGAATTCTGCGAGCGCAAAACTACGCGATCTACCTCGCTCGGCTGATGTCCTTGTTCATGTATGAGACATTATTCGTTCATCGCCGTCTGCCCGATCATCACTTCTCCACTCTCATCCCGCAGCTTTCCTCTTTTCATCTGTGCGTCCGTGTAAAATGGAAATCTGAAGCGCTCCACTTTCGCAGTTTCTCACCTTTCAAAGAAAAAGGTAGGACTTTATTTGCTGTACTTGACAAGTGTGCGGTGACGATGGTTAGAACCGTTCCATTCACGCAAAGCCTTTAGTTTCAGTTTAGAGACGCGAGATAAATGAAGCTGGTGATGTCCGTTATTATTAATGCAAACTCCTCGATCGGTGGTTTATAGAAAGGCCTGATGTGGACCGCCTTTCTTATCTAACCGGTTGACACGTGAAGCCAGTGTAGCAGATCTTGTGGTTTATCATCTTGTCCGATGCTTTATTAAGAAAAATATCTTGGAAGTGTCGCTTAAATTACGACTTTATGAGCTGAATTAAGCGTGTCTATGTAACCTGTAGGAACGGTAATCGTAAAGAATGAAGGGTTCTAGTTCCGATTCTTATCGATTCCTCTTTCATTAACGTTAGCTGTTCTTTTACTTTTGAGGGAAAAATATTCATAGGGGAAAAGAAATGCAATTCCTATTGCATTGCCCTCAGCAGTCGGTTGGTATGAGATCATTTCAGATTTTAACAGAACAGGGTTAATTTATCAGGAAAAATCAAATTCTTGCAAAGTGTTTTCGTAGTTTTTATTAAGAGAAGAATGCAATCCAATGATTGGAAGGGATTGTCTATTAAATGGAATTGTTATAATTTTTATTTTTAATAAAATCTCGCATATAACAGTAACAAATCTTGTGTATTTTTATTAAATCTTACGACTTTAAAGTCCAACATAGTCTTTATTTTAAGTGGATTAAGTAGCTACTAATTGTAAATGAGTCGGATGAATTCAATAACCGCTCTGACAGATTAACAAAAGTTTGCTGATTTGCCAAAACGAACGTGGATATACAGGTATATCAGTCATTCATGAATCTACAGCAAGAGATATGGTTTTGATTCACTAAAAGAACCCACTCATAAGATTAATTCTTTCGATCTACACTGGTCATTGATTCTCAGATGTAGAATCTGTATTAGTGCAGAAAACAGTCTCGTGGTATGAGTATCTTAATTTAGTTACGCTTGATGTTTTTTATTGGTAGGAATAAACGGCGTATGATTCGTTAATCCAACAAGGTATGATTCGTTTGGAAATCAGACAACACTGGTGGCACTGTATGTTTTTGATTCCACTAAAAAGAACCGATTCATATGAATCATTCTTTTTTGAATCAGTTCTAAATAAGAACACAGTTCACAAAGTTTTGATAATTTTTTGTTGTTCACAGCCCCCGGAAATGTTTCTAGCTGTATTTCTTTGTTTTTACTGTGTAATTATTAGAATTCAGCCCCTCATCTCTTCTTTCCAGGCAGACAGTGCTTCACATTTTAAAAATGAAATGAGTGTGGGTTTTGACATTTGTCTCCAAATCAGGTTCATAAATTTTCAATGTTGTGGCACAGTAGTGTAATATGAGGTTGAAGCTTCTTTAAAAGCACTATTGTGACTCATGCTTTGATGTTCTTTGAAACGCTGACAGCCTTTGGAGCTGGTGGCAGTTCATGCTTGAACAGCCACAAAAAGAGGAAAAGTATAAGTGTCTATCCCTATCTGAGTGACAATGATCCTGCT